CAGTCCCTCTCTCCATCACTGTCCCTAACTCGCCCACTCCCTCGCTGTCCCTCGCTCTCTCAAATCCTCACAGTCCCTCGTTGCCTCACCATCCCTCGCTCCCTCCCCGTCCCTCGCTAAAACCCACCCTGTCTCTCATTCCCTTCCTCTCCGTCCCTCGCTCCCTCCCTCTCTGTTCCTCGCTCACTCCCTCCCGATCCCTCACTCCCTCGCCATCCCTCGCTCCGTCCCTCCTGGTCCCTTGTTCCCTCCCTCCCTGTACCTTGCACTCTCCCTCCCTCCCCGTCCCTGGCTCCCTCACTCCCTCGCTGTCCCTCGTTCCCTTGTTCCCTCCCCTTCCCTCGCTCCCTCTCCCTCGCTCAGTCCCTGTTGCTCGCTCCCTCGCTCCCACCCTGTCCCTCTCTCCCTCCCCATCCCTACTTCCTCCCCATCCCTCGCTCCCATACCTTGCTCCCACCTCGGCCTTCACTCCCGTCCATCGCTCCCTCGCTCCCCGTCCCTCCCTCGCCCGGTCCCCATCCCTCTCTCCCCATCCCTCCCCCCCCACCTCCCCATCCATCCCTCCCTCCCTCCCTACCCGGCCCTTGCTCCCTGGCTCCCTCCCTGTCGCTCCCTCACTCCCTCTCCCTCGCTCCCTCCCCATCCCTCGCTCCTGTCCTTGCCTCCCTCGCTCCCTCCCCGTCCCTCACTCCCTCTCTTGCACCCTCTACGTCCCTCACTCCCTCCCCATCCCTCGCTTCCTCTCCCTCGCTCCCTCCCCTTCGCTCCCTCCCTTGCTCCCTCCCCGTTGCTCCCTCCCTGTCCCTCGCTCCCTCCCTGTTCCATGCTCCTTCACTCACTCCCTCCCCATCCCTCGCTCCCTCCCCGTCCCTCGCTCCCTCTCTGCCCCCCTCCCTGTTCCTGTCTCTCGCTCCCTCCCAGTCCCTCGTTCCCTCCCTGTCCATCCCTCCCTGTCCCCCTCCCTGTCCCTCGCACCCTCCCTGTCCCTCCTGATTTATTCAGGAAAGTTGCTTTTGCTTTTGGTACTGATTTTCACATCTTTTAGTGTGGATCATAAGTTTTGGGGTAGGTGCAATAAAGGAAAAATGTCTCTCAGAAACTGAATTTGTTTGTTCTGAGATTTTACCCTGTACAGACAGTGATGATGTTTGTAAATATTTCACAGAGTAACAGAAAGAAAGACATTGAAGATGGTAGAGTCAAATCAAACACACTGTCAAGATCCAACAGAGTTAATCAATTCATCAGGACCAGAAAGGAATATGTTTATCTGGAATGCCTGTGGGAAAAGATTTCAAACATCAGTGTAAGTGGTAAAGTGCCAACACTCGCACACTGACACGCCTGATTCTGAATGTTCCAGTGAGCTAACTGCAGAAATTATTCAACATCATCCAGTTAACATTCTGAAAAAAAAAAAATCCACAGAGCAGAGAAACTGGACACACATTGTGTTTATGGACAAGGATTCAACAGATCATCCAATCTGGAGAGATGCCAGGAGATCAGCATTATGGAATAACCGTGGAAATGTGTGGATTGTGCGAAGGGATACAAATATCCAGGCCAATTGGAAGCTCATCGCCGTAGTCACTGTTGGGAGTGATCATTCACCTGATAAATATGTGGGAAGGGATTTGCTCAGTCATCCAGCCTTGTGTCACACCAGTGGGTTCACACTGAGAAGAGACGTTTTAAATGCTCTGACTGTGGGAAAAGCCTTAGGAGCTCTAAAGGTCTAATTCAATATTGACATGTTCACGTGGGGGAGAATTCGTTCAGCTGTTCCACATGTGGGGAGGAATTCACTTGGAGATCCAGCCTAATGTCACACAAAAATCTTCACGGGGAAGGAAGCTTCATGTACTCTGTGTCTGGGAAGTGATAGAATTCATGGTCCAGCCTAATGTCACACAATCGAGTTCACACTGGAGAGAGACTGATATCTGCTATGTGTGTAGGTGGGGATTCACGTCTTCATCCATACTAATGTCATAATCAGGTCACACTGGAGAGAGATCTTTTACCTGCCCTGTGTGTGGGAGGGGATTCACATCATCATCCAGCCTAAGGTCACATAAGCCGTCTCACACTGGAGAAAGACCGTTCATCTCCATCAGAGACTGCTCTGTGTTTGATTTTGTTTCTGTCAAGAACAATAAATCCTGATTCCCTGACCGGAAATTGAACCCAGGCCACAGCAATGAGAGCGCCAAGGCACAACCACTAGATCACCAGGAGTGACGGTGGAAAAGCATGCTTACTGACACAGCTTTTGGCCTTTATTTTTTCACTGGAGATAAGCTTCTCCTTCAAAATAATTGAGTTACTGAGTTTGTACAGAATGGAAAGAGGCAAGGATTTCACCCACCTAGCTTATATCGTCCCAATTTAGACTTCAAAAGCAGTGTCTGGTTACAGCAAAGAAAGGAAAGAATTCCGCACCCCCCCCCCCCCCGCCCCCCTCCCCTCCCCCGCCCCGTCCGTGTTAGTCCTCCATTGTTTCCCCGTTACTCTGCAGTTTATTCTGCCTAACTGGAACATTGTTCACATTAGCTGCTTTCTGTCCTTCCGAAAGATCTTCCTCAAGTACCTGAAAGGACAAACAGGAACGTAGTGTTTCAAATGCATTTCTGGCTGGTTGAGGAAATGACATGGTGGTCTTAACGCCATTTAATGAGCAATAATTTTGATCGACTTTAAAGAGCTCCTTCGGATGTTGGTTGCAGAATGTGGTGAAAATTCTCTCACTCCCCAGGAAGAATGAAACTCAAGACCACTAGGCGAACCACTAAACTGCAAAGTCATGCATTAGAAACTGCAATGTACTGGATTACTGGATAGCCTGTGCATCATACATGAAGACAATGTGACAAATCCGATACAGAGCCGAGGCGATCATGCGCAGAAGCATGGGAGATTGTAATGCCAAATCAAACAGTGTCCAGGGTGATACGAACAGAGATCTACCCTGGTAGTCTCGTGATGAGGATTCAGTGCCTTCACTGCCATGGTCTTTTAATGGTTAACATTTACAGCAATAAATATAAAATACTGACTAATCTTTAGAAGCAGAATTATGTCATGGACCAGTCAGAATCACGTCACTGCATGTTAGTGTTCCACATCAGCAAAGTCAGTTGCAATTGCCTGACGTGCAAATGGATTAAAACAAGAAGAGAGGGGACATCAGGAAAAGTGAAGGGCCATGGTGGTTTGTGAGAGCTGACAGTAGGGCGAATGCGGTCAGGCCCAATGTGGGTTCTGAAGGCAGGAAAGCTGACGCTTCAGGTTCTGAAGAAGGTTCCAGACCCGAAACGTCAGCTTTCCTGCTCCTCTGATGCTGCTTGGCCTGTTGTATTCATCCAGCTCTACACCTTGTGATCTCAAATTCTCCAACATCGGCAGTTCCTACTATCCCTGGGTTCTGAAGACTGGTTTTCACTGTTTACCCTGGTATATAATCACTCTGGATCAATCACCCACAATGACTCTCCGTTGTGTGTTGCCCTTTGCATGTCTCACCTCGGTTCAGAGCCCAGAGGGCATCCATGCATGTTAACTTGGCAAATTTCACTCAGGTCACCCTAACAGTCTCGTATTAATACCATAAACTTTAGGAGCAGAAAGGGACCATCCAGCCCATTCAGTCTGCTCCACCATTTACTGATCTTGTGTCTGGTATGATAATCCTGAACTGCACTTTCTTGCCTTTCCCCATAACTCTTGATACCTTTACTGACTAAAAATCTGCCGATCTCACCATTGAATACACTTAATGACCCAAATCTGACAACCCTCTGCTGTAAGGAATTCCATGGATTCACCACCATCTGAGAGAATAAATGTTTCCTCATCTGTCTTAAATGTGCGACCACATTCTGATATTAGGCACAGATTGCCCAGAAGGAAAACCTTTTTTGTGTGTCCAATATATTTAATCTCAAAGAAATCTGTACGCTTTAATAAGGAGCAAGTATTGTTTTTGTAGTCTGAGCACGTGAAGTCAATGGACTTCAGCACTTCCTCCTGTTTGGTTTCAGCCCTGATGTAAAACTTTCACTGATTCTGACAGAGCTATCCCCTTTATGTCTTAATGTCAGGAATTCACGTTCATTTTAAGAGTTTCGATAGGAACAATCAATTCCCCATTCCTATTTTGGAATCAAACCGAGAACACAGCAGTTGCAATGCTGAATCCCAAAAAGGAAGATGCGCACAATACTTGCAACTTTTTGTCTTGACACTACTTTTGACCTTTTGTTTCAGTTGCAAAATATTAGTCAGTGAGATTTTAACACTGCGGAGAAAGACACTTCGGCCCATTATATCTATGCCAGTCATCAAATATCTCACTTCTAAACCCAGTTTCCAGCACTTGGCCCATCACCTCGTTTGCTCTGACGTTTCAAGTGCTCTTCCAAATAGGTAGTCAATGTTTGAGGGCATCAGTGGAACAAAAACACTTTCTTCAACAAACGACAGGAAGCATTGCTGTTTGCTACAACATGAAATCTACATTTTCCTCTTTGAAGACAGCTATGAAAGCCAAACTCTTTCTCAGAGCCGTTTGCCAGTTTCCCCCATAATGCCAACAGTGTAGAATGAAATCCCACACTGCCTGAGGTTACCACTAATGACTCCCTACTTTCAACCTCTCTGCTGACATGAGATGTGGTGTCCCTCAGGTTAAACCACCGCCAGTTTTGTCTCTGTAATAAGAAAGCAGCCCTGTGGCCCAGAATGTTTATGGCGACTTAGTGTGGCTCAGTGTCAGACTTTGTGATATTATATCCCTGGGGTGCAAAAGGCAAGTTTTATACTCTATTAAATGTATTATATATGTCAGTTGTCCTGGCAGGAAGTAAAGAGAAAGATTGCTTGTACACATTACCACAAATAAAATTCAATCTTTACAATGGTGGCCACTTAACCCAGAATTCCGAGCGATAGGCACGGCATTGCTTGTCACTGCGCAGGCTCACTACGTTCCCGCGTGCCCACAGGCTAGAGCATGCGCAGTGGGAGCGATCCTGAGAAGTAGCTCTTTTCCTCGGCTCCACAAAAGGTAACAATGAGGCGGAACGGAGGAGGCGACAGACCGGGCGGTAGATGGGGAGGCTTTCTAAACACTTTGTGGATGCGACAGACCCCGCATAAGGACACTATCTGTCCCCGTTTCAGAAAACGGGACAAATTGAGGCTCCGTCTCCATGATAGGCCGCGGGTAACGGCCGACATCTTAGTAGGAGGCAAACAGCAGCAGAGCGCATGTGCAGTCGCCCTGGGCCAGGGGAAAGGATGTTGTGAACATCTCTCCTGGACTGATAGGGATGGAGTTTATAAACTCCTTTAACAGGGATTGAGGAGGGGAGGATTTACACACAGCAAACTCCAAAGTAAAGAAATATTTGCTTCTTCTGAAATTTTGTCCCGGACTGACTGAGATGGCTCTTGTAAATTTTTTTTACAGCATGTTAGAAAAGGATTTGCAGATCAGAAACTCAAACCAAATATGATACGCCAAGATCTAAGTGAGCCACTTTATTCATTGGGTACTGGATAATATTGGCCTTTGAATGTAAGTATTGAGTAAGATAAAAGTAACATAAAGTTCCTTCCTTCTATCTCCCAGTAATTATTGCCCAATAGCTTAAGTCTGTGTCTTTCATAATTTTACTTCCAGTGAAGAAGATCAGCTGCTCTTTATCTGCCTTATTTAAACCTAGACACTTTATCAAATCTCATCTCAATCTCATTTGCTCTGTGCAGAACAACTTCAGTTTCTCCAACCTGACCTTACAACTAATATCCCTTGGTTGTTGAGCCATTCTGATTCATTTCCTTTCAAGTCTCTCCTCAGACCCTCACATACTTTGTGGAGATCACCTGTTTGTTCAGGCCCAAATGCTTTGTGTTCAAGTGGATGATGATTTCACACACAAGCAATTGCTCACCGACATCATCCTGATTCCCGGGTATTTCCTGAAGTGTGAGTTTACTCTGACCCCAGTGCTTCTGATATATTTTGAGCTGCAGACTCTGGCATTTGATTTTAAAGTTGAACACAATTAAATAATTTCAATATTTTAAACCAGTAATCTACACCATTACGCTTCTCCTGCTGTTTTCAGTTTCTGACTCTGGAGCTAATGTGACTCATTTTGTCATCCCCTCGCTATGTGGCTGGTCTCAAAAACTGCTTTATAACACCATCCATTATGACCATCCATTGTTCTGGTTCATCTCTGTTCTCCCTGATCAACTCTGTCATTGTCTAACCTGCTCTGTCTTCAATAATGGATGTAACTGTCTTAGGTATTGTATTATTACTTCCATTGAATCTCTAAATGAGGTTTTGTACAGCTGAACATTGCCTGATGATTTGTTGCTGGCGATTACCTTCCCTTAGTAGCTCCCACAATGCTCTTTAGGAAAGGAGTTATTCACCAAGTGATGATGAAGGAACTGTGATATGTATCCAAATCAATCGCAATTAATTTGTATCAATATAGTGCCCTTCACATAATTCAAACTTCCAAACTGTTCCTTGGTAGTGTTATAATGCAACTTCTGACCCGAGACACACAATGAGATATTAAAGTGGTGACAAAATGTTTTATGGTCAAATAAGTTGTTTTCAACCAGTATTTTAGGGTGCAAAACTAATGTCGAGAGAGTGAGAGGTTTAATGAGGACATTTCACAGTTTGTCACCTTGGTAGCTAAAGGTTGAGGGCACCAAATGTGGGACAGTTAAAATCGAGAATGCCTGCGTGCACCTTATACCATTGTAATTTCGTCCATTTAGATTTTGGCTCCGAGTCTCAAAACCAACTCTGTCACTCTCCATCCTAATGAAGAGCTCTATCATGAAGAGGTCTTCACTTTTCCACTCGAGGTCTTTCACAGCTAGATTGCCAATTAGTCCACTCTGATTTCAAAATTTTAATTGTGTAATAAAGTTACCATAGTTCCCGAAGACTGTAGGACTGTTATCTCACTTCAGAAAGAGAGATGACAAATGGTGCTTTAACCTCAGGGTTACCACACCTCAGGCAATGGGCAAGGTTAAGATAGTGGGATCTTCATGGTGACTTCAGCTGTTACAGGAATTAAGCACATGCTGCTGGAGTCAGTCTGCATCACAAACCAGCTGTTCAGCCAACTGAGCTAACCCACCCCTGACCATTACACAATACACCATTGAGGATGGCCTGTCCTCTCTTTGGTCACTCAATATATAGATGTAGAAAACCGTCTCGTACACAGTCCAGGAATTTCTCCTCTATGGTATTGTTACTGATTTGATTTGCTCAACCTATGTGCAGATTGAAGTCCCCCATAATAACCGTGAGCACAAGATATAGGAGCAGAATTAGGCTATTTGGCTCATTAAGATTGCTCCACAATTTGTGACTGATATGTTTCTCAACCCCATTCTCCTGCCTTCTCCCACAACCATTGATCCCCTTATCAATCAAGATAATTATCTATCTATCTATCTCTGTTATAAATACACTCAATGACTTGGCCTCTACAGCCTTCTATGACAATGAGTTCCACAGAATCACCACGCTCGGGCTGAAGAATTTCCTCCTCATTTCCGTTCTAAAGGGTCATCCCTTCACTGAGAAGCTGTGCCTTCAGGTTCTAGTCTCTCCTACAAGTTGATACATCTCCATGTCTAACTCTCCAGGCCTTTCAGTGTTCTGTAAGTTTCAATCATGTAGCATCATAGAGTCTGACAGCACAGAAGCAGACCCGTCAGTCCAACCAGTCCATGCTGACCATGTTTCAAAACTAATGTAGTCCCATCTGCCTGCACATGGCCCATGTCTCTCCGAACATTTATGTATTATCTAGACGTCTTTTAAATATTGTAAACTCGACCTGTATCCACCATTTCCTCTGGAAATTCATTCCACGCACGAACCACTCTCTGCGGGGGGAGAAAAATGGTTGCCCCTCATGCCTTTTCTCAATCTTTCACCTCTCACCTTAAAAATATGACCCTGGTCTTGAAATCCCCCACCCTAGGGAAAAGACACTTGCTATTCACCTTATCTGTACTCCTCAAGGACAGGACTTAAACAGTTCATGGTAGGGCCCTGGGTAGTGTTGTACCTAGGTACCTTTGTACCTAACATGGTGCCATAATTGGCAACTTGTAAACTTTTCACTGTACTCACGTGAGTATATGCGACAATAAAACGAATCCAGTTGATGAAAAATATGCCCCCCTGGTCTTGAAACCCCCACCCCAGAGAAAGGACACCTGCCAATCAACTTTTTGTTACCCCTCAGGATTTCACAAACCACTTTCAGGTCAATCTCAATGTGCTACACCCCTGTGAAAGGAGTCCCAGTCCCCCATTATGACTCAATCCCTCCGTTCTCAGCAACGTCCTGGTAAATCTCTTCTGAACTCTGTCCAGCTTAATACTATCCTTGCTATAACAGGTAAACCAGATCTGGACACAGTACTTCAGAAGAGGCCTCACCGACGTCCTGTACGACCTCAACATGACGTCCCAACTTCTGTACACAACGGTCTGAGCAATGAAGGTAAGCATACTAAACACCTTCTCGACCACCCTGTCTATATGTGACGCAAATTTAGAAGAATTAGGTAACTGAAACCTGAAGTCTCTCTGTTCTACAATACCCAAGGCCCTATTTTAATTTGCAAGTGGATTTCCTCTGGGTGCTCCGGTTTCCTCCCACAGTCCAAAGATTTGTGGAGTGGGTGGATTGGTCATGCTAAATTGCGCATAATGTTCAGGAATGTGTAGATGAGGTGGATTATATGGATATGGTTCTGGGTGGGATGCTCTGAGGGTAAGTGTGGACATGTTGGGCCAAAGGGCCTGTTTCCACACTGGAGGGATTCTATGATTTTATGATTTTCTGTGAAGTCCTGCCTCCCTTGTATGTTTTACCACTATGCAGTACCTCGCATTTATTCAAATTAAACTCCGTCTGCCAGTCCTGAGCACATCGACTCAAATGATCAAGATCTCTTTGAAATCTTCATCTTTTTCACTGTCCACTCTCGCATTAATTTTGGAGTCATCTGCAAAGTTACTAACCATGCCTTCTGTATTCTCATTGAAATCATTCATATAAATGTCAAACAAAAGTGAACCCAACACCGATCCCTGCAGAACACACACTAGTCACCGCTGAACACCAGGCCTTCAGTCCAAAAAACAACTCTCCACTTCCACAGCCTGTCTCCTGACGTTAACCAAATTTTGTATCCAATTGGCAAGCTCATCCTGTATCCCACGTAAGCTAGCTTTACTAATTAGTCCACCACTTGGAACTTTGTCAAAGGCTTTACTGTAGTCCAAGTAAACAATGTTTACTGCTCTGCCCTCATCAATCATCTTGGTTACTTCATCAAAAATCTCAATCAAATTTGTGAGACACGATTTCTCTCGCAGACAACCATGCTGATTATCCATAATCATTCCTTGCCTCTCCAAATGCTATCTTTCAGGATCACCTCCAACAAGTTATCCACCACCAAAATCAGACTCTCAGAACAAGAGTTCCCAGACTTCTTACATCCTTCAAATGAAGGCACAACATGAGCCACTCTGCAATCATCTGGCACCTCACCTGTAGTTATAGATGATAGAATATTTCTGCACGCGACCCCACATTTTCTCTCTCAACTTTCCTCATGATGGTATGCACTAGAGCAGGTTGTAAGATTTAGAGTCATAGAGTAATACAGTGTGGAAACAGGCCCTTTGGCCCAAGCTGTTCCATGCTGACCATGGTGTCCACTCAGCTAGTTCCAATTGCTGGATTTGGTCCATGTCCCTCTAAACCCTTGCCATCCATGTACCTATCCAATTATTTTTTAAATGTTGCTATTAAACCTGCCTCAACCACTTTCTCTGGCAGCCCATTCCATATATGCACCACTTTCTGCATGAAGAAGTTGCCCCTCAGGTCCTTCTTCAATCTTTCCCCTCTCACCTTAAACCTATGACCTTGAGTTTTTAATTCCCCATCCCTGGTAAAAAGACTACATGCATTCATCCTATCTATGCCCCTCATGATTTTATACACATCAATAAAATCACCCCCTCATTCTCCTATGTTCCAAGGAATAAAGTCCTATCCTGACTAACCTGTCCCTACAACTCGGGCCTGGCAACATCCTAGTAAATCGTCTTTGCATAATTTCCAGTTTAACTATGTCTTTCTGATAACAGGGTGACCAAAACTGTACACAATATTCCAGTGCGGCCTCACCAATGACTTATACAGCTGTAACGTAACATCCCAGCTTCTATACTCAATGCATCAACCCATGAAGGCTAACGTGTTAAATGCCTTCTTCACCACCCTTGTCTACCTGTGACACTGCTTTCCATGAACTATGTACTAGTACTCCTGGGTCCCTCTGTTTCACAATAGTCCTCAGGACCTTACCATTTACTGTATAATTCCTAACTTAACTATATTGAATTGCATTTTCCAATCCTCAGCCCACTTCCCCATCTGATCAAGATCTCTCTGTAAATTTTAGTAGCCTTCCTTGCTATCAACACTACCTTCTAATTTTATATCACCCACAAACTTAGTGATCATGCCTTGTCTCTTCACATCCAGATCATTTACGTAAATAACAAATAACAAAGGTCCCAGCACTGACTCCTCTGTCACACCGCTAGTCACAGGCCTCCAGTCTGAGAAACAGCCTTCAAACATCACCCTCTATTTCCTACCATTGAGCCAATTTTGAATCAAATTAGCGAGCTATCCCTGGATCCCATGACTAGCCTGCCGTGCGGGACCTTGTCAAAGGTGTACTAAAGTCCACATAGACAACACCCACTGCCCTACCCTCCTCTATGCTCTTGGTTACCTCTTAGAAAAACTATAAAAGAATTGTCAGACATGACTTCCTGCGCACAACTCCATACTGACTATCCCTAATCAGACCTTGGCTATCCAAATGTTGGTTGATCCTGTCCCTCAGTATCCTCTCCAATAACTTGCCTACCACTGCTGTCAGGCTCACTGGCCTGTAGTTCCCTGGCTTGTCTTTGCTACCTTTCTTAAACAATGGAACAACGTTAGCCACCCTTCAGTCTTCCAGAACTTCACCAGAGGCTAAAGATGAAGAAAAATCTCTGCAACGACCTCTGCAATTTCCTCCCTCGCCTCCCGCAATGTCCGAGGATGGATTTGATCAGGCCCAGGGAATTTATCCACCTTAGTGCACTTTAAGGCAGTCCAAACCATCTGCACTTGTTTTGAATATTTCCTCAGCATCCATGGATCTCTCCTCAGTAAACATCAAGGAGAAATATTCATTAAAAATCTCCCCAGTCTTCTGTGACTCCTGTGAACTTGTTTTCAAAATACAATGTTTCTTTCCCTGAGATCTCTAGCCTCCATTTCTTTCTCCACAGTTGTAACTGATAGAAAATATTCCTTTGATGTCTCCCTCATCTCCTGAAGTTCAATACAAACATGACCTCTTTCATCTTTACAGGGCCCTCCTTGGTGAACAAGCAAATGGTTGTTGGGCAATGAGAAGGGAATAATTGATAATCAAGTTGAGTGTGGGCCCTTAAGGAAAAGTGACCACAATAGATTGAATTCTTCATAAAGATGGAGAGTTATATTGTTGTTTCTGACTCTCGGTTCCTGTAAATAAATGAAAGAAGTTATAATGGTATGACGCATGAGCTACTTGTGATAAATTGTGGATCAGTATTTCAGTGGATGATGGGAGATGGGTAATGGCAAACATTGAAAGAGGAAGTGGACAAGCTATGAAAGTTATTCATCTCAGTCTGGCATAAGAACAAAATGGGAAACATAGTCAAACCATGGCAGAGAAAGGGAAATGAATGGGTATTAAATTTAAGGAAACAGCATTCAAATTAGGTAAACAAAATAACAGACCTGAGGATTGGGAAAAGTTTAGATTTCAGCAAAGGGAGACGAAGGGATTTAATAAGAGGGAGAAAGTAGAATATGAGTGCTCTTGCAGGGACTACACAAACCAATAGCATTTTTCTTTATTCATTCACAGGATGTCGGCATCGCTGGCTAGGCCAGAATTTATTGGCCATCCCTGATTGCCCAGAGGGCTGTCAAGAGTTAACTGCATTGCTGTGGGACTGGAGTCACTTATAGGCCAGACCAAGTAAGGATGACAGTTTCTTCCCCTGAAGGATATTAGTGAGCCAGATGGTTTTTTCCTGACAATCAAAAACAGTTTCCTGATCATCATTAAACTCTTAATTGAACATTGATAGCAAAAGATTAGTCAAGAAGAAATTAGGGTTTCCTTACAATCAGAAACATGGAAATTATAATGGGGTACAAAATGATGGCAGACCAATCACGTCTGTCTTAGATTTTCAAAAAAGAGGACACAAATAATGAGCCAAAATTAAGGAGTTCCCAGGGTCTAACGGGAAAGTAGAATTGAAAGAAATTACTATTAGTAGGAAAACGATATTGGCAAAGCTCATGGGACAACCGGCAGATAAATCCCCAGAGATTGATAACCTTTGTCTCAGAGTAACTTAGGAAGTGGCCCTAGAAATGACAGATGCACTAGTGGTTATCCTCAAATTCTATTGATTCTCCGAGTTCCTATGGATTGGAGGGTACTTAACATTGCCCAAGTATTTAAGAAGGTAATCAGAGTGAAAATAGAGCATTTTCAAAACATTGATGGTGGGAAAAAGTGTTAGGGCCCACTGTAAAGGTTGGGATAACAGAGTACTTCGAAGATAGTGACAAGATCAGACAGAGTCAGCAGAACCTTTGTCTGTGAGATCTCTGAGACTCTGTTGGGCATGAATTCCCTCCACGCCCCTCTCCATCCTGACTTGGATAAGTATCACTATTCCTTGAGAGTTACTGGGCCAAAATCCTGAATTCCCACCCTGACAGCATTGTGGGTCCACCTCATGGACTGTAGTGGTTCGCAAAGGCAGATGACTACCATCTTCTTAATGGCAACTCGGCTCAGCAAAGCCCACAGAAATTTAAGAAAATCATTATCAAGGCCAACTGTGGATATGGAATTGAAGCCTAAATAGATCAGCTTTGACCTTTTTGAGGCTCACTGGGCAGAATTAACTACTCTGACTCCTATTTTCTATGTTCTCTACTCTTTCTATCGAAATGCATCTCAGCAGGAATGGTGCATTCCCTGGAGCTTACAAGGATGAGGGCTGATTTGATTAAAATTTTCCAGATGTTAATTGAAGCTGGTTGGGGTGATAAAAAGTAACTGATCCATGTGTGGGTGAAGTGAGAGCTCAAACACCCTCCTTGCCTGCAGTAATCAGACAAGACTTGAGTTTCTTTATCCTCCAGTTTATTCGAACATAAGAATGAGGAACAAGAGGAGGCCACTGAGCCCTTCGAGCCTACTGTGTGACTTAATAAGATCACAGCTGATATGATTTCAAACTCTGTTCCATGTGCCTGCATATCCCTGAACATTTCATCATCTTGGTCATCTAAATCTGTCTGTCTCTGCATTAAAATGAATTTAAAGATTCTGCATACACTGCCTTTTGATGAAGGGAATTACAAAGATTCTGAGCCCTCTGAGAGAAAGTAAATGTTCTTCACCATTTCAAATGGATTCCCCCTCCTCCCCTCCACTGCCCCCCACCCCGCTCCCCCCAGCTTTAAACAATGACCCTCAGTTCGAGATTCTCCCACAAGGGCGATCATGTTTTCAACATTGACCTGTTCAGGTCCCCTCAGATCTTTTAGGTTTCAATTTAGTCTCCTCTTTCTTTTCTAAACTTGAAAGGATACAGGCCTAGCCTGTCGAGCCTTTCTTCATAAGGCAATCCACTCGTTCAAGGTATTAGTCCATTAAATCTTCTTTGAAATGCTTCCAACATATTAACAACTTTGTATAAGTACAGTGACCAGTACTGAACACTGTATTCCAGAAGCAAGTCTCACGAGTAAAAGGGGGACTGCATGTATCTGAAGGTGGCCCATGAATTCCCACCTGCTTACAGTAATGCTTTTTCAGCAAGCTTAGATCAGTTAGATTTATCCAATTACAGACTGACACAGGTTATGGTCAGATAGTTATACAGTTTGTATTGTTACACCGACAGCATTGTTGCAGTATCACTCAAACCTTCCACTCTGCTGGCTCTGCACAAATAATGACTGGCTCTGCAGCCAGTTCCGCAGCCTGATTTGACCTGTATTTTTCAGCTTCTGTCCTATCAAGGACATTACTGATCCAGGTGGGTTTTTATGATAATCCAGCAGCTTTCATTCCACTCTTGACTGTTTTAAATTTATTTTCCAGGAATTCAAAAGGGAGAATTTACAGACAGGCAGCTCAAGTCCAACATTGGATGAAGAGCTGCCGGTAAAACTCAATTCTCAGGAGCTTTGAACGTGGAAGGAAACAGCATCATTCACAGTGAAGAGAAACCCTACAAGTGGACTGTGTGGGGAAAAACCTTCATTCAATCTTCTGGACTTTCGAGATGTAAATGCAGTCAAAACAGGGTGACAACGATGACATCAAGCTTTCTTTTGTAACATCATAGTCATGGATCTCAGTTTGAGTTAAGCAAGGGCCATTCAGCTCCTGATCTCTTTACATTCTTGCTGCAAACACGGACCAAATAGCTGAATTCCAAATATGGGAATGACTATCTGCTATCTTAAGGCTCCATTTGACAGAGCATTGTATCAAGGAATCATAGCAAAACTAGGATCAACAGGAATCCGAGAATATTGTTCTCCCTTTGAAGGCAGGTATTTGAAAAGATTGCATCTTCAGACCTGAGTAGATAAAAACAAGGTGAATTTATTCAAACTTGTACCACGTACGTGCAGAAGAGATCTCTAAGTCGAGTTTTAAGACAATCCACCATTTACAGCTTAAAACAGAACATTAAGACATTTTCACGTCAGACTGGTTGCATGTAACATTGGCATAAAATAAATTTGTATGTCAGTTATTTACTGCATGAACAGGATGCTGTTCAGTTTCTTACAAAGTTCTGAGTCCTCTAATTTCAGCAGTGCTTCCACTTCTACATTATCTTCAAAGCTTCTCTATCCCCACCATCTGCCCACAGCGTGCAAGCTTTCCCTTCTGAATGATACATACGTGAGTATCTTAAGATGTACAGATGTTCTCTGAACCCTAAGTAACTGCTGACGGTTCACCATTATCAATATGTAGTTAAACTACCTCAACTACAGTAACTATGTCCTTATATGGTTGTACTTGACTCTTAGCCCAAGCTGTAATACTCGTCCAAGCTTAATTCCTACTGCTCTGTGTTTTAATGTTCTGCTTCTCTCCTTTTATATTCCCCTTGTACACGCTCCTATCCTCCTTACCCTACATCACCCTGGTTGGGTAATACTGAATAGAGAGGGAGATGCTTGTGATTATAGAAGGCCAACCATCTCAGCTGCAGCAGTTCCTCAAGATCGGGTTCTTGTCCCAGCCACCTTCAGCTGTTTCATCAATGGTCTTCCCTGCATCATAAGGTCAGAAATGGGGACGTTTGCTGCTGATTGCACAATTCTTAGCAACATTTGTGACTGCTTGGATACTGAGTCAGTAGATATCTAAATGCAGTATGCCTGGACAACATTGAAGTTAGCGTGCTATGTGACAAAGAACATTTGCACCAAAGTACCAACCAATAATGAACAAATCTGACAGATGAGAACCTAACATTTAATGACATTCAATGGGTTTATCTTCACTGAATTCCCCACTATCATCATCCTGGGTGCTAATAGTGATGAGAAAATGAACTGGACCTGCATTCCAAATACTGTGCCTATACAAGAAGGTCTGAGGGAAGAGATTTTCTGACGATTAATTCAACTTGTGCCTCCCCAAAGTCTGCATCATCAGTCCGCTGTTTGGCAAGTGTTCCTGTCGTGTGCCTGGTGATGCTCCTGTCACACCCTATAGCACTGCGCTTATTTCCTGTTCCCTGAGGCCTCATTGTGCGGCGCCGTAATCATATAGAGGTCCTTACTGTATGATGCGGCTGCAGCAGCTCTTGCTTGAATCCGAGTCATGGCACTAACTGTGGTACTCAATTGCCCCGTAACATGTGCTAAAGGAACGCAATGAGGGATCAATTTAAATTCCAGAAAGCATGCTCATGGAGGCGTGTTCAATGCCAATGTTGTGAGAACAAGCATCACCCAGAGCAGCTTTTATTAGCATAGACCAGTGATTCTTGAAGCGTCAGGCTCAGGAAAATGACAAGAGAGTGACGTTCAGCGCAACAGATGTCATTACAAAAGACCAGTTTCTGCATTGTGCAGTTCATTTGTCAGGTTTGCCTCATTTAGCATTTTGAAATTGTCCGCTCTGTAACCAAATACGAGTCATTAATATCTGTCGAGTAGAGAGCTGGTCCCAGTACTGACTTCTGGGAACAGCAGAGTGTATTCTCCTCGAGTCTGAAAAACAATTCCTCACAGACAATGTCATATCTCCCCTGTCACCAGGCTTTTCATTCAATCGGCTCCAATCCTTCGTCGAATTCGATTCAATAGATCATAGATCGTAGAATCATAGAATCCCCACAGTGTGGAAACAGGCCCTTCAGCCCAACAAGTCCACACCGACCCTCAGAGCATGTCACCCAGATCCATTCTCCATAACCCACTTAAATCTTGTCATTGAGTAATTTCTTCATTTGTGTTCAGCTCATGAGAGCAGTGTGTTGCAGTAGGAGTGACCCACAGGTCATACCATACTCTGGAAATCATACCCTGCTGCATATCATTTCACAAACACGAGGGAGAAATACTTGATGCTCTGCACAATTTAATTAAGTGAGAGAAACATGAGGTCTTGACAAGATCACATGTCACCTTCTTTAAGCACGTGATGAGGTGGCCGAGAGGTTAAGGTGATGGGCTGCTAATCCATTGTGCTTTGCACACATGGGTTCAAATCCCTCTCTCGTCGCTATTCTCAACTATTTCACTGCTGCCATTTTTCGTTATAACTTGCTAGTTTCGTAGGAAGTGAAGCGAGAATCCAATTCTTGTTAGTTTATCTTGCCGGAGATTCTTGATCAGTCGACTTTATGGTAAAGTCGAAATCAAGAATTGGAACTTGTTGTCTGAAATGTGTTAAAATGGAGGTTGAATTCCGACAATAAGAGGGAACGCGATTTTCCCTCCCATTATTCCCCCCAAATTGTCCTCCCATGAACATACATCGAATGAAAGAGAAACAAGTAAAAAATAACGAAATATCAGAAGCACAGGTTTATATAGTGGGATTGTTGATGAGTATTTAAACTAACATTCGACACAGGGACTAATATTTCAAGCAGTCCTTACGAAACCAATGGCGAGACAGATGCTTGATGAAAGACGCGAGCACAACGGGCTCAGTGCAACTTGAGGATGGCTCTTGTTGCAATGGACAGTGCGGTGGATTGCTAAAGATTTGCGATTCCAAGGTCGTGTGGGTTCAAAACGCCACAGAGTCGACTTTCATTTCAGGTTCCAAACGAATCAATGGTGTTCTGTGGAAACTGCTTCATCTGCACTTCCTGTCATCATCCGGAATTCCAGTCCCTGCTGCTGACCAGAGGACGTTCGTCACCATTTCACGCAAGTTTTCAGAGAATAGTTCGACCAGAGATCGTCCCACAAACCTGCATCGTTGACGGGGAAATGCAACATAACATTCCCGTTATACACTTGATTTGTCACCTTGAATATATTTAGAGATCTATAATCCAGATTCTCAAAGTGGGTTGTGAGGATGAGACAGGGAAAACCATTGAAGTTTTAGATCAGCCATGATGTTAAGGAATGGCGAGTCCCGTTCCTATGTTCCCATCTTTCGGTGTTGTTTCAGGCAGAGAATTGTCAACAATAACGTGGAACAAAAAACAGTGCAACATAGGTCTGTGCCGAACGCTATTCTGAACTGAACTGATCCCACTTGCCTGCCAATGGTTGTGTATTTCTCTATTACCTTTCTCTTCTCGTGTCTGTCTAAATACCTCTTAAATGTTGCTATCATGATGATGACAATGGTGACTCGACAACACTGAATATCATGTTTCTCACATTTACCCCACCGCTCTCACAACTGGAACGGACAGCTGCTGTTGCAGTTTTAGATCAGACAATTGAGGATGCTCACAGGCGCTCTATCAGACAGCATGCTCCTTCACATAGGTTTCCAACTGGGCACATGGAGCAAGTTGCCATGCAGATGTTGGGGCTTCAGGGGTAGATTTCTCAATTGTCGGGCTGGAGCTCTAGCTGTGGTGCTAAACATGATATTCTGATATTCTAAATCCAGTTCTGGCCTCTTCTTAGTTTACAATTTTAAATGTGAAATTCAATTTAACTTTGTGTTACATTCTTATGCATTCACTCTTCATGAAAGTCTTGGAACGTGTCCTTGAATGAAATAATGGTGAACGTTGATGACGGCGGGTGTAGTGTGTGTCCTGTCGGTTGTGTGAATTTTGCAAATGAAGTTGGTGAACTGTTGCTGAATCGAATTCTGTGAAGAATTTTGTGGCATGAAAGGCCCATGACAGTGGGGAATGTAACGTTATCTGTGATGAATTGTTTTCCTGACTCGAGGAGAGTGCACTGTGCTGTTCCCAGGAGTCAATACTGGCAACAACCTCTCCTCAGGATAGATATTAATGAACCGCACTTGTGTACAAAATGCACAGTTTCAAAATTCTAAATGATGCAAAACTCGCAAATAGACTAAACAACGCAGAAAGCCGCATGAACTGCTTTTTACCAACAAAATTTATCTTGCTGGACATTGCTCTGTGTTCTCTTCCTGAGCCTTGTGACACGCAGCCATGACACGATCAGGGCAACACTTCAGCAAGTGTAAAAAGAGTGCAGTGCCAGAGGACATGCCAAGAGCAGCACTAGGTACACGGTGAAGTTAATTTCCCACAACAGGAACATACCCCAAACAGCAGACTGAGGGGAGAGAACTCTGAGTGAGGTGAAGTTTTGAAATTCGGTGCCCCAGAGACTATGGAGGTCAGTTATTGAGTCTGTTCAAGAATGCGATTGACAGATTTCTACAGAGTAAAAACATCAAGGGCTCAGGGGACAGTGGAGGAAAATCTTGAAAATGTACATTTCAATGCAGTTTAGCACTGTGTAATTAAGCAAATTCCTCGAGCAACTTAGGAACCACGAGTGAAGACGATCAAATCCCAGTTCACAGGCAATTTGCCAACCACTAAGGTATAATTCGAAATATGAAGGTATACCGCAACATCCTGCTCCAGTGGCGCAATCGGTCAGCGCGCGGTAATTATACGACAGTATAGAGGTGTGTGCGATGCCGAGGTTGTGAGCTCCAGCCTCACCAGCAGCAATTTTAGTTTGTCGTGGCACAAGAGGGTCATGAGGAAAGTCAATTCTGAGCAAAGTTTGCGGTAAAACATCAGTTTCTGTGAATTGGGAAATGACTCAACGATTGACAAACATCCTGCAAGTATTCAAAATGTGAAGAAATATCTGCGGAGAGAGAAAAGAAGGTGATTTTTTTCAGCTCAAAGACGTTTCTCACATGGCTGACTGCACTGAGTTAAATTGCGGCGAAAAAGCTGTTAAACTCCTTTCAATTTATTCACTTTGCTGCAAACTCGCACAGGTCATTGAAATAATTAAAAAGGAATCAGATTTATCACATTCAGCCGTTCGAATGTTACATCCTACTTTAGTTAGAAATTTTATCAGCTTAAAATAAAGAGCTGCTGAGAAGAAGGGAGGGTTCAAAATGCAAAAAAGACAGAGTCTTGTTTGTGGATTTCTTGGATGGAGTTCAGAAAGTATGAAATGTACCTAAAATCATCGGAATGTGCTCAAATCTTTAAGGCACCAGTTTAAAGCGGGAATTGCGTCTCTCAGCAACCGTTCCCTTCCGACTCAAAAGGGTCTAACTTTACTTTTTAACTGAAAACATGTTCAGTTCCATTAATAATGCTTCACGGAGAACGAACTGCCAATCTTATTCAGTTGCGCGTGTACAATAAATTTCTTTGCACGTGAAGTCAAAGAAATTCAAAACTATTCCCCACCCGCCCACAGA